CCAGAATGCCCAAGACTTTTATGATTCTCGCCCACTCCTGAATTCAGACTACCTACCCTGACTTCATCTCTTCTGAAACATACGGGTGGTGTAGAGGTGATAGTCGAGGGAGCTCTGCCAGCCCACGGGAATTGCTGACATTGACAGTACAAACTTAGTACGGAGGGGAAAAGGGGATCCTGATACAAAAATCCTTGAACCCGGTAAAACTCAATTATACCTCGGTACAAACAGGCTAGCCTGGTACAAACAAATCCAGTCGAGAACCCAATGGAATGTGTTTGTTACATGTAAAGCCAGCTGAATACTCGATGCCTGAGAGTTAAATCCTGATATAAGGTACTCAGAATCATTGTTATTAAAATGAGATAGAGCAAAAGCTCCAACAAAAAAGTCACGTTCATAGTGCGATAAATCTTTCATTGCTGGATGGATTCCCTTATCAGAATTTAGAAGATTAAATGCTTTTAGGGTCTCTTCATAAACTTGAGGAAGAGTCAATGGATATGATGGAATCAGCTGACTGTTAACCTCTAATTGACAGCTGCCATTTGCATATTGACCATTAGCAGACCCTAGACCTAAGCCATTGCGCCTGAAATATTGGGAGGAATTGTACAGTGGTCCAATATTCTTCCTTAGGAAGGTTTCAAAGTTAGCATCATTTAGATTGATATCTCCTGAGGTTATTGTTGCGGCATTCAATCTATCTACAATAGCCTGAACTTCCGCTTGAGCATAAGCAGCGGCAACATTCCCAACTACTGTTCCAATAATATTTGTTCCCGCATCATTACCTAGTTGTAGGGCATCAACAGTGTTAAATGTGCTGGTTCTATAAGTCCAGATTACCTTAGCTAAGCTCTGGGTTGATTCTGTGAATCTGAATATATTAGTTTTGCTGTTTACTAAAGCGTTGCCTGTATGACGTCTGTAATTATTATAGGGCATATTTAATGACCCGCCAGATGATAACAGAGCATCAAAAAGACTGTAATATGTTGGGCTCTTCCAGTCAATACGATTAACATATGCATACAGATTAGAAATCTGATAAGATGGAGTCGCTGCTGCTACATTCTTCCATAGCACAGTATTTGGAGCTAAGCGAATCCTTACTTCAAACACTCCGAAAAGGTTTGTATCAATGATTGAGGGACGGCATGAGCCTAGGAATCCGACCCAGTCCTTGATACAATAAGTATTCCGAGCAACATTAGCATCTGGAACATTTACAACTGGAGCTCTGGCAACAAGGTTTGTCTTTGTAATGACTCCTGCGTCATTTACAGTTAATCTAACAGAGGGGTCTGCATTGGTTGAGATGGCTTGCTTGCCTTCTTGCTCACCATATCCATACATATCCTTAAAAATGTTGTAAAGAACATTGTAATCGTCTATATGTTGTACACACACTCCATTAATATAAATGCTGAGTGTTTGAATCATACTTGCCATATGTTTTGGGAAGCCGCATGGTTGAGTTGCTGCTGTTGTTCCAGTAATCTCAGCATTAAAAAACAGCTGGAAAGTCCTTAAATCAATCACACTTGCTGGGGGCATTGTAATGATAAGCTCATCATTAGGTCCTAAGTTCTGCTGGCCAGTGCTTGGAACGATTCTAACAGGTTGAGTATAATAATTTGTCAATACTTTGATATTATTTGTAAAATTTGACGGGAAGAAGGTCGATTTAATCATGGTACCATCTCCTGCTCCTGCTCCAATCTCTTCCATATTGCCTTTATTTATTACAAAACATTTTTTTTAGATTGTTCTCACATAATTTTTACGTTACTATTACTAATTTCAATTGTTCTTTCCATCTCTACAAACAATATTGGGGTCCCTCTAAAATCTTCAGCAAAATTAACATTTGCATTTACAGTTATTGCTTGTGTCTCAAACATTATTTTTACATATCTATCTTGTGTATTATATCCAGTTTTCACTATCTCATTGTTCTTTTTTACATGGTCTTCTAAAGACATTACAGCCGCAAAAAATGAATTCTCAAACTCATATATATTTCTCCATAGTGTTTTATTTATGTTGAAAGCATGTTTTACTTCTTTTTCAATTTCTAACATTGTCATAGGATTATTGTTTATTGCGATATCATCTATATAAAATGATGCTGTCTCTACTCCCTTTCCTATACGGCTAAAATAAACAGAATTCCCTAAATTTGTTCTTGTTCCTTCATTAACGAGTCTTTCATATTCTACTCCAAATTGGCTTCTGGCTGATTGAAAGCCATATACACCATCCCTTTCGTAGTCTAAAAATGTCCCTATCAATTTGTTTATACAGTCTGATTTAATATTCATTGTTAGCTTTTGTGTCTTGTTTATATCTAGCTTTTGTCCTGTTTTTGAGGTGTAATCTGTAAAGGTTAGATTATTGTTTATCATATTCGGAGCTCCTTCAAAATCTAGCTTATGAATATTTGCTTTCACATTCCATATACTATAGTCAGGTCCAGCTTGGTCTAATATCTGATTATCCGTTCCAGCCCTTCGTTGAGAGTTGGCACTCACATCTTGATAAAACATTATATTAGCAGGTGCTAAATCTATTTCAATAGATAAATCTATGTTGTGTGTATTAATATATTTGATGTCTTGGAAAAATCCTATCCATTGTGATATAGAAAAAGACTCTTTTAATGTTTCTGTTGGTTGCGCAGCATATTCAAGCCAACCCTCATCAATTAAACCAGCAACATTGTCTTCACTATAACCTACGTTTAGAACTACATCATTATTGAATCCATCATCAGACAGTGTCTTAAATTCAGGGGTCTGGTTATCTGCACCATTTCTGTGTGATTCATAATTCTTTATATCATAAATAAGAGCATATAAATAATTATATTCATATATATTTGATATCTCTTGTTTGTTTATAAATACCCTTAATCTTTGAATCAGTGATTGTGTGTGTTTAGGAAAATTATAATTCAATGAATAAAAAGTATTGTTATTGGTATCTTCTACCAATCTATAGAAGCTTGTTTGCGCATCAAAGAATATATTAAACGATGACAAATCTAATAAACCTTTTGGAAAGTCAAAATGAATCTTCTCTCCTGGTTTATACAATCTGCTGATTTCTTCTGGATGAAATGATATAAGTGTCTTTCTAAAATCCCTTATCTCTGATACATCTATATTCAGTGCTGATGGTAATGACATTTATTATATTGTAATAAAATAATAATGAATGTGTTGATATCTTCTAAAAATAGAAATGTTGATGAGCCTATTAGCAATGCTACATATAATCTACCTGCTGGATTTATTCAATGTAAGAATGATGAATACTTAACTGTTCAATTAAAAGGATTTTCTATGATTAAATCCTTCTTTGCTGTCATGGATGGTATCAATAATCAATTTATTATAGAGCATGCTTCTATTGATGATGAACTAATTGAAAATGTAGTGTCATATGAACTAAAAATAGATGAAGGCTATTTCAACATTAATACATTGCTAAATATTCTAAATTTATTGTGTCCATCAGATGTTAGGTTTTCTTTTAATGCTCCCAGAAACTCTTTAAGTATTGTTAATTTACATCCTCAAGATAGGTTTTATTTTACATCTATTAATTGTGGTGTTCTCATTGGATGTGATGATAATATTCAGTATGAAATAACAAAGAGCGGCATTGAATTACCAAGTTATGTTAATCTTTCAGGATTCAATAATATGTTCATTGAGATTACAGGCGACGTAATCCTAGACAACTCTAGCACTAATAATATAATTTATAAAGACTTTAAGCAATCCCAGATATTAGGTATGGTTAATCTTGTTGATGTTCCTTATTACAGTCTTATAGATGTGTCTAACTGTAGTGAATTTAGAATAGCTAATAGGGTCATAAATAATATTAAGGTTAGGTTAGTTAATGATAATGGAATTGAATTTAAAAGATTATCTGATTACACCCTGTCCCTTGAATTTAAGAAGCATGAGAATGTTGATAAGTACGCTGTGTTAAAAGGTATTAGTAGGCTTGAGGCATATCTTAGTAGAATATTTGTTATTGCTTCTAGATTTTTATTAGAACAATAATATAAAATGAAGCGGCAAGGGTGTAATTTTGATGGCTCAAATAAAGGAGGTGGGGGCTCAGCCCCGCTATCTAAAATTAAAGAAGCTAAAATAAATCAGGCTGTCTCAAAGTTATTTTATGGATATACTTTAAAGGCATTCAAATGATAGACGAGTTAGAAACTAAATATAGAGATTATTGTTATGTTATGTCTATATTATGTAATAGAGCCGGGGCACACTACAGCTTTATTAAACAGATATTTTTAGTTATATTAGTTATCCCTAGTAGCTGTATGGCGGTCATTAATGGGGCATTTAATGAAACTGCGTTAAAACCTGTTAATATAATAGTGAATGCTTTTGTAGCAATTCTTATAGCCATACAGAATACACTGAAGATTGCTGAGCATGCTGATATGTTTAATCAGATGTCAGTTAAATTTGTTAAACTCCAATCTGAAATAGAGACAAACATAAATCTAGGTCATATGACTAATGAAAAACTGCAAGCTTATATCAATAATTATAATTCATTAATAGAGCAAATATCCTTTAATTTCCCTTCTAGAATTAAAGAACAGGTTAAAAATAAATATAATAATAGGTATTTGCCACATATACTTAATGGAGATAGTCCGCCATCATCGCCTAATTCAATCCCTGTCTAATTTTCTAATATATGACATGTAATCTGAATATCCTCCTATGAATTCATTATCAATGAACACTATAGGATATGTCTTTGTTTTTGTTACCTGTAAGATTTCTTCTAATTCTTCGGTTTTGAAATCTTCTTTATTGAACCATTTATATTCTTTCCTGAATTTTGTTAAAAAGTCTTTCAATGCTAGGCAATAATGACATCTTGCTTTTGAAATAACAACTAAAGAATTGATGCCCATAGTAAGCGCCGCTTCCTTAATCTTATCCATTTTATAATTTAGTTAGATTAAAATTATTTAAGTAGTTCTGAAAGCCCTGACTGACTGATTTAGCGCTCCACAACACGTATCTAGCGGCTGCTCCTGGGGTCGCTGGATTGTTCCAATCTTCACTGCTTCGATGTCGTTGTAGATATCTTTCCTTGCGTTCATCATTTTTATGGTCTGTGTAGTCCTCATAACCTGAGGCACCAAATTGTATTGTCTTAAGTTTCTTCTTGTCCTTGTCGTATAATAATATCTTATATTTCTTTCCTTTAGCTGTTGCTGGAGATAGGCTGGCATATTTGTACATATTTTTTATATACAATGATAAAAATAATGGATAGGTAGAGGGGGGGCAAAGTAGACCCCCCCTTTGGCATAAGTCTTTCAGCTCTAAGGTTTTATAATTACTTTTAAAATCGATTTGTACAATACTTTTACAAACCCCCCCTCTACTTTCCCCCCCCCTCTACCAGCTTATCTTTTACTCTCTCTTTTTTTATTAAAGATATTATTATTATTACTATTTTGATAAGAAAAATAATAAAATATATAATATATAAGTATTCATTTATAAATTAGGTAGAGGGGGGGGGTAAGTGGGTATGTTCAAAGAAGTTCTAGAAGGATAGCTCTTTGAGTTTAAGACCACATATACACATAATAGGACTATCAGCATATACCTTATTCTTTGCTTTCTTTTTCATAAGTTGATAGTTAGTATCAAAGTAATCATTAATAATATCATATATCATATCGCTCTCAGTCTTTGAAACATCTCGGTTATAATATTTCTTATATTCATTGTATATATACTGAGTAGGTATTCTATTATTGATATCATCTACCTTGGTAATATCAACCCTAGCTAAGAACTTATTCTTAAGCCATCGCTTAAAGTCCTCAACAATTTCATACTCTACTTGTATTTCATGGTTATTATTAGGTTCATCGTCAGATTCTTTATCAGATTCTTCAAATTCATCTTTAAATTTGATATATTTGACATACCTATTATCATTAGAAACATTGAAATCATTCTGTAAGAGTTTTTTCAATAAATCTTGTCTAGTCACAGTGGTTATGTTCTGAGTTGTCATTTTCATATAATTTTGGAAGTTAACATATAACTTAGTGATTAATATCTTAGCGTCCGAGTCTCTTGTTCTCTGAGTCCTTTCTTCTAGAAACTCTTTAAACACGTCAGAACTCTTTTGATATTCATCAGTGGCATATTCAACCTCTTTAGGAATGTTTATTTCTAAAGCAGGATACTTAGCTAATATGTTATGTATAATCTTTGACATTAGGTATTTAGGAAATGTCTTTAGTTTGTTATCAATATCTTGGTCTTTTTTAACAAATACCTTACCTTTAATATTGCTTGGTGGTTGTTCTCCGATATAGAAATAGGCATCATGTGGAACAACTTTAAGCCTTCTCCATGTTCCACCATCGTTGCTAGAACCTAAAGGAATCTTAGGAAACTCATTACAGCTTAAGAAGAATTGAGCATATAATTCAAATTCAATAGGTGTTTTATATAGACCTCTAGCCATTATTATATCATGACCTGTTAATTCTTTCATAACACCTAGATTAAAGACCTCATCTTTATCAGGTTCTGAGGATGTAACTAATCTAGCGCCTTTTAGTCGCTCTAATTCTGATTGTGCAGCGTTACTAGCTGCTCGTTTTTGTAGGAAGAAAGAGACGGGCATAGTCTTAGCATAGTCACCAAAGGTATTCTGCAATAATTGCATTAATGTGCTCTTACCATTAGCGCCAGAATCACCCCATAATATGTTAAACTGTTCAATTTTTCCACAACATATAGCAACTCCAAGAGTATCAAGAATGTAATTTCTGATACTTTCATTAGGATATACCTGTTTAAGATAAATATCTAGTTGTTTTTGTTTATTATGGTCTGGATTATACTCAACATAGTCATATTTGACCGACATGCTGATGAAATCGTCAGGCCTTCCATCTCTTAACTTTTGTTCTTCAAAATCAAATACTCCATTTCTAAAACCGATTGTATGTTTAACAGTATCAAGAACATTAGGAAATTCATGATGATATAATAGATGTTTAAGTTCTTGTATGAAATTTTTCTTTTTACCAACAAGCTTGAGAGATTTGATAATCATCTCAGTTTGTTTTATTAAGCGGTCAAATCTATCTTTTAATGAGTCACAGGCAGTTTTAAGCTTATTTTTGTATTCTCTTACTTTATTTTGGAATAGTTCAACAATCGTTGTAGATATATTATTATTAAGGATAGTACTTTCATTAGATTCAGTAATCCATCTATGGTGTTGTTGAACGAAAACATACCAAGTTTTATCATAATATCTAATAAGAGTATTAGTGAAATGATAATCAGGCATAATTTTATTTTTGTATTCAATAATGTCTAGATTGTAATAAGCAGCAATGACAGCAGCAATATCAAAATCAGTACAAGTTGTTATGGCAGCCTCAAGGAAGTAATCCAACTCATCAAGTTTATCTTGTGAGTGTTGAATAACCAAAAGGGTAGGTTCATTTTTCTTGGACATCTCTTTATTATTAGATTATATTCTTTTTTTCTTTATATACTTTTTTTCTTCTTTATCATTTTTTTCTTCTTTATCATTTTTAACGCAAAAAAGGGGCTATAAAGCCCCCTTCTTGCTAATTATATATATATTTATAATTGTCTTTCAAGTTTCAATCTATAATATCTCTGTCTTGCTTGTTCTTTAATTCTTTCTCTTGCTTGTTCATTATTTTGATATCTCTTTTTGCTGCTCTCATTGAGTCTTATCTTCTCTCTCTCATAAAATTCTGGGTCCTGTTCCTTCTTTCTGTAATAATAAGCAAGTTGTGGTGACATTTTCTTAACATCAGTTGTTGAATTACTCATGATATATATTATTTATACTTTAGTCAGATAATATTAATCAAAAATCTTTTATATCATTTTTTGTTAAGAATAAAAAATGATATAAGATTTCTATAAATAGACATATCTATTAGATATGGAGAAACTATCTAAACTAACTCTATATGAGTTTCATTACTATGAGCAGAAATGTGAGCTCGACTATCATCACGATAAGCCTTTAAAATTTCTTGTTCACGATTTATTTCTTATAAAAAAAAAAACAATTTGCACCTTATCTGATGATATCAACATAGATTTTGACATAACAGACACCACCTTCTCAAAGGAGCTCTATCTTTGTTATAAAGATGAGACAAGTCCTATCCCAGTTCTTGGTAAATTAAAAAAAAACATTGAGTTTATTACTCTTCCATGTGATAAAGAAATGGAAAAAAGCATGGACATGTTGCCTGTGCTTAAATATCATCATATCATTCCAATATCACTCAACAAATATAACATTTAAGTGCTGATTGGAATATAAATAGTAAAATATATTATATTATATTCATTTTTATATCATTTTTACCTCAAAATATTTGAACCATGATTTTAGATACAAAGCTAAATCAGGGTTATATAAAGGTGCTAGTTTCAAACCTTTTTTAATGTAAGCAGTTACAAGATGTTCCTGTAAGTAACCTTTGATAAGCTCTAAGACAAACTTATAAAAATTCCAATCAAACATCTTTATATTGTGAATTTATAATTATTTGTCTTATATCATTTTTCTAATTCTGACCTCCATTGACCATCTTGTTTATAAAGTTTCCATTTGTTGATGAATTTTTCGGTTGGTTTGTATGTGGTTGAGTTATACTTTTTCAAAACCCTTCTTAAAGCCAATATATCTTTATTATTCGCTCTATATTCTTTTTGTTTTTGTGCATAAGTATCTTTACCAATCTTTTCAACATATTTTCTTTGATGTTGGCGATTGGCTTCAACAATATCCTTATAAAATTTTAATTCTCTAGGTCTTGGTGGTAGGGAAGTGGAGTTCCCCATAGCCTCTACAACATCCGTGTAATGCAAAGTGGAGGGTCCCATAGCTTGTGACATAGGTTCATTAACATCATTTATAGTAATTGGAACAGAATCATCAACAGGCTCTTTTTTAATCTTAATCTGTTCAGAATTATCCTTCTTATAAGAGTACTGTTGAGACCTTAAAGAGGACCTCATCTTTAAAGCCACCTGTTCAAGAATCTTAGTGGAAACATTATTGCTATATAACCAACTAACATAAGAGCTTCTAAATCCATTAACATTCAAGTTTTGTTTTTGAAACATGTTAGCAAGATACTTAGCCTGATTCGGACCTGCTGGCTGGTTTCTATCCCTATATTGTGTAATATAATACTTCCTAGGGTAAATCCTCATGCTTAGTCTAATGAAACTAGTTAACAACTTAGCTAAAGGGTCATTTTGTTCATCACCATTTGGATAGCCTACATAATATCTAATAGGTGGATGCTTCTTGTGTATAGTGTTGAAAATGTACATAGCTACCTCATTTTCGTTATCACTAACATAAACATAATTGGTTTTTTTATCAAGTCCCTCTAATGTATTTGTAAATACCACATTAGATAACTCGGACCTAACAGGTGGAGTATATAAATAGCTCATTAATATCAATGTATTCATATGTAATTTATAAGTGGCTTCTTTGTTAGGGCCATATTTAGCTAAAGCATCCTCAAATTGCTTTTTCATTTCACCGACCATATCCAAAAGGATAGAATAGGGAACAAATACTCTCTTTTCATCAACATTGAGCTTATTATCAGTCTCAATATTCTTTAATGTGGATTTATCAAAATCATCAGATAGCTTAGAAAGCTTCTTATAAAGTTCATCATCATCTCCAAGAGATATTTTGGCAAGCCTTGCTAATGCTCGTATGTAATCCCAATATGTAAAGGGAGAACCCTTTTTGCTCTCAATATATTTAAGCATGATTAACATGATATGGCGGTGATGTCTAAGGACAGTTGTTAAATCAATAGGGTCAAGTTGTAAATCTTTAGCTTCTTTTAGAATAACATTTAAACTGGAAACAAGCTTCTTATCGTCTTTCTTCTCCCCAACAAATCTATTATTTCTCACATCAGCTAGAGATGGTTTAACAATATATTTCAATTCATCATATTGTTTAGGAGTATAATCTAGAGCATATACTTTGCTCGTTATTGTGTTTTTATCATTAATCTCTGAATTGATAGACATCTCAAGCCTTTCAGCCTTTTGCCATATGGTAAATTCATATTTCTTATCATCATAACGATTAAATTTGACTGTTTTTAAAGCATTAGTATATTCTTGTGTGATTTCATCATTGAAAGTCTTTAACTTTTTATAGTCCTTAGGTGACCTGTATTTTTTAGAATATGATGATGAAACTTTAATATTATTATCTTGTGGAACAGGTAGGCGCGGCTCTTGGACCTCAATTGCTGGCATTGGCTCATTATTTGTATTATCTGGTGGTGGGGGTGGGTTTTTAGTGGATTTTGGGGTTGTTTTTGGGGTTGTTTTTGGGGTTGTTTTTGGTTTGGGTTGAGCCTTGTTAAAATTCTCTGGTTTATAAGCCTGGGTTTGTTTTCTCTCTCTTGCCATTTTTAATATTAGGATATATTTTATTTTTAACTTATTAAACTTATTTTTTCCTTATATCACTTTTTTGACCTTTTATCATTTTTGATGTCTTTAAGTTCAGGCCTTATAACAAAAGAGGTTATAGGTTGTTCTAGTAATAGATAGACCATTTATTAATATAATCACGTTTATATTTTCTGTATTGTTTCATATAGATATCTTTATTCATTTTGATTTTTGGAGAGAAAAAGAATAATAACCTTTTATCTTGCTACGCAAGCAAAAGCTTAACCAAAAGAATAATAGAAACGATAGGCTGGTAGAGGGGGGGGTAAAGTAGACCCCCCCTTTGGCATAAGTCTTTCAGCTCTAAGGTTTTATAATTACTTTTAAAAATTTGTGCAATACTTTTACAAACCCCCCCTCTACTTTCCCCCCCCCTCTACCAGCTTATCTTTTACTCTCTCTTTTTTTATTAAAGATATTATTATTATTACTATTTTGATAAGAAAAAATAATAAAATATATAGTATATTCATTTATAGAATAGGTAGAGGGGGGGGTAAAGTAGACCCCCCTTTTTGAAAAGTAGTTTACGTTGGAGGTTAGTAACGTAAAAAAAAGAGGTAACGCATAGCAGACCTGGAAGCTACCCCCGGAACCCCCCCTCTACTTTTGGGGGGCCTCTACCGGGCCTTATTTATACTACTCGCGACCCTATTGGTTAAGTGCTGCCCTTTTGGAATTGTTTTTATTAGTGCGTACGGGCCCGCCTAGGCAGGTCAGAGGTCATTGTTTTTTTTTTGAGTCGGTGGGAATCGTGGGAATCGAACCGGGGACTGTATGGGCTAGGAAAAAGGATATGACGACTAGGCCAGGATGCCTTAATACCTTAAAGGGTATAGTTATATATATAGGGGTGTTGGACAAATGTAGAGCATTCACTCAGTGGATGATGTATAAGGTGACATGTGGCACACAGCGATTGAATGGATGGAGAAGAAAGATTAATAGTAGGCATGCATCCTAGCATAAACCCTCCACAATAAAAGGAACCCTCCACAAACCTTCCACATATATTTGAAGAGTGAAATGGTAATAGAGAAAGGGGTTGTGTGGAGGGTGTGGAGGGTTTGGAGGGTGTGGAGGGTTGAAAGTTGAATTGGGGAAAATCAAAAAATATTTAAGAGGAGCAAAATCAAACCCTCCACCCTCCACACCTGCCACGGTGTGCTCAAAGAGCACTGTGCAGAACGGCAAGTTTCATCAATGATGATTGTTTTCTTTTTATTCGGTTCAGGTCATCGGTTGGGTGCTCCGGGACCACTGTGCAGACGGCAGAACGGCAGAAGGGAAGAACGGCCATTGGTCACCAAGGGGGGAGCAAGCTCCCGCGGCAAGGCTGCGCCATGCCTTTCCGCCCCCTTGCTGAAATCATGTGAAAGCCTGACGAGAATGATAAGGGAAAGTGATAGAGATAAGAAGGCAGTTGTTCATAGTTGAGTCACGAAGGAAAAGTGTAATACGTCAAAAAAGTCACGAAGAAAAAGTGTGATACCCAAAACGGTCAAATAAGTCAAGTGGTATTAAGCTGCTAGCGGGCCCGGCGGCCGACCACCGCGCCGGGCCGGGGGGCGGCCGAACTTCGGAACTTCAGTGACCGTCTCGGCGATGAGACCCTCGTGACTGAGTCCGAAAGGGCCGCGCAGGCTCCTGAGTCCGGGTGAGTCGGACTACGACCGGTCCGGACGCCGGGGAGCGAGAAGGCTGCACATTGAAGCAGCCTATAATTAGTAAAGTGGCACCTACGGCGCAATTCTTACAGTACGGTAGTACATGATCCGTGACGTCGGGACATGCTGGCGGTGTATCGGGATGCTTCTGTACACAGGGGAGGTACAAGGACTCGAGCAATGCCTGTTCAAGCTGCCCTGGGGGATTCGTCTGGTTCAGCACCTTCAAGCCAACTGGGTCGTGGATGTCCAGCCAACCACTGGCTACTCAGGGTCAGGGCTTCTGCAACCGGTCAACCAGATCGTCGCCTTGGGTGAGCGAGTTCATTGGGAACGGTATCGAAGTCGTGGCAGCAGTGCCGCATCTTGCGGATCAATTTTTTTGGAAGAAAAGCAGGGAGGAGGGAGGAGGAGGGAGGAGGAGGGAGGAGGGAGGAGGGAGGAGGAGGGAGGAGGAGGGAGGAGGAGGGAGAAAGAGGGAGGAGATTGATAGCGGAAATAGGGGCATGGGGGAAATCGGTCCCTATGGCGGCTGCACCCCCTGCCCCGCCGGCACAACCACGCAGTATGAGGGCAGGACTGGGAGCACCGGTCTGAATCAGTTTTACTTCATTCTCTGTTTCTGTACTTCCAGATGGCAAAGAGGATGAGTGCGACAATGACGAAGGCCATGAAGGAGAAGGTTGAGAGAATGATGATGTCATCTGACAGCAGCGATGAGCATCATGTTCACCGACGATCGTACAAGTCAAGACCTGGGAAGAGCGCAGCTGCTATGAGGATCTTCCGGCACGAAGAGTCTCCTTTGGCGGCAACCTGTGCACCTGCACGTCAGCTACTGACATGTCCGGGGAGATGGGAGGTGATAGGAAGAGATGACAGGAGAAAGGTGATAGGAAGAAGCTGATGGTGTACCATCCCCACGGCTGACAAGGAGGCGCATCGGTCCTTTGCGGTTGATCGGCTGGCCCCGCAGTTCCTGTACGCTTGCAAGCAGTTGTTGTAGCAGACAGGGACGATCACGCGGAACTGGCAAGGAGGGAAGTACATTGCGCACATGAACTTCCCGAAGTAGTCAATGCAGTTGCCCGCGTTGTCTTGAAGCTTCATCGCCCTGACGGCCATCTTCGCATCGATGTCTCCAGTCTGTCCAGCAGCAGGCAGTCAACATGGGCGTGAATGGAGGTCAGTCTTTGACGACTTGCTCACCGGGAATGCGCAGACGTCCTCGGTGACATAGCAGAACTCGTTTGTCAATGGCAGCGAACAGTTTGCCATGCAGAACCGAATTGCAGAGGCGGCATGAAGCCCAGCGAATAGAAGAATACATGGCAACAAGACGGTTCGTTCCATCCTCATGTCAGACCCTGGTCCTTACGCCGGTTTCAGTGATGGTGATCTTGTGATATTCGGCTGGTACAGTCGCTTCAACGTGGTGGCGCCGTGTCATTGTATGTCGTCTCTTCACTACCTGCCATCTTGCTCGTTGTGTTGGCCTCTTCTAGCAGGTCATTCGCTGCTCTTCCCCGCTCTCTCAGCATGATCTTCTCCGCCTCCCTCCTTCTTCGCATCTTAGTCTCCTGCGGCGAGTCAACATTGTTGACAGGCAGTTGTCGCCCTCACCCAGGCTCGCTGAGGCGGACTGGCTCAAAACCTTGACAAGGGGGTAGTTAAGGAAATATATGGGGTGGGGGTGGACGGGGATGAAAATGCACAGTGGGTGAGAAACAAGTGTAGGACTATACGTGAAGGAGAGAGAAGAGCGAGAGGAACGAGGAGAGGAGAGGAGAGGAGAGGAGAGGAGAGGAGAGGAGAGGAGAGGAGAGGAGAGGAGAGGAGAGGAGAGGAGAGGAGAGGAGAGGAGAGGAGAGGAGAGGAGAGCAGGAAGGTGGAGACAGGGAGTAAACGAAGAACTTCGGAAGATGAGACGACGGGATGAAGGCTCGACCCGAACAAATAGTGATGTTGCAAACCATGCTGAGGACGAGAAGGAGCATGGGAAGCTTTTCGCGTACAGCGGACCAGGATCAGTCTGGAGTGATATCACAAGAACGGCCAGCGTCACGACGTCAGAGACCAAGTTTCTTGTGCATCCTCACATTGCAGAGTTCTACTGCTTCTTGACTTCTCCAGCCTACTTGCTGCCCTGGTGATAAGACTGCCATGGAACCCTTTCGCGACTGATCGCACTGCAGCTCTCTATGGTGGAGCTCAACCTCTTCCCTTCCGACCTGCTTCCATGTCGCGCTGATTTTTTGTGCTCAAACGGCATTTTTCTCGCTCATCTACCACGCGACAGTCATGAAGGTCTGTCCCCACTGCAGTCTGTGCTCGCACTACAGCCTGTGCTCGCACTACAGTCTGTGCTGGCGATGCTGATGGCGAACAGGCCCTAGGAAGTCTGGATGCTGCACAGGCTGTGATGACTTTCTATACTGTCTCCTTGATCCTTGCCGGGGTTCTGGACATGAAAGTGCACTTGGTACCGATGGCTCGAAGAGCTTCTGGTGGGCTCAAGTCTCTTCAGGTCGTCATTGCGGTGCTTTGCTCGCTGTTCGTGTACAACTGGAGGAAGACGGCGAAGTTGTCGATCTATCTCACCTCGCTCGTTGTTCCTTACTCCATGTCAGCTTTCAGACGCATGTTGTGTCCATCTCATCATTGCTCAGGTACACATTGTGGATCAATGGGGAATGGCTTGCAGGTTGTCCTTGTACCCCGTTACCCTTCTATCATCATCATCATCATCGTCGTCGTCGTCGTCATCATCAACAACAGCAGCAGCAGCAGCAGCACCACCACCATCATCATCATCGTCCTCATCATCGTCCTCATCATCATCATCGTCGTCGTCATCATCATCATCGTCATCATCATCATCTCCATCATCATCCCCATCATCTCCATCGTTGTCGTCGTCGTCATCATCATTCTCATATGCTCGTATGCAGATGTTGTGTTTGTCGTGGGTGTTGCCTCCTTTCTTCTCGATCGCTATCGATGTATCCCGCTTCACAGGTCCTGCAACGCTCTCGCTTGCTGCTCGTGACGCTGCCGCAGCCTCTGGCATGCCTGCGCCGCTTTCACGTGCCATCGATGTTGCCAGCTAGGGATGAAGCTTCACGTACTACATTGAATTCCAGTCTATTCCTCCTCCTCCTTCATGCTCCTCCCCATGCTCCTCCCACCAACGCTCCTTCTTCCATACTGACCTGCTAGTCTTGCATCGCCAGCAAAGGGTCCTAGCATGCAGGTCAGAGCGCATTCTAGTCAACCATACGACGGGTGTAGGACCTGAGAGCAAGTCGTCCGTGCTTGAGTTTCAGGTCAATACCCCAACTTCTTGGCCAACCGCAGAGAATCTTCGACGGAGATCCGATTCGTCGGCTCTTCGCCATTTCCATTCCCTGGCTCCAGCTGTGACCAATTCCAGTTCTCGTCCTCCTCGTCTTGATCTTCCTCTCCGTTGCTGTATCTGCTCCCTACGTTCTTCTCCGCCTTTCGCTTGTGATGCGTACGGTATTGATGCTGTCAAAATCATCGTCATCGCTAGCCCTTGATGCAGCCGGCAGTGCAGAGTACAACCTTGGCGAAGTACTCCTTCCAATCAGGATCTGATTGCAAAGTGTAGTAAGTCACTCCCCTCCATTTGAATGCGCCGTCATCATTACCTAGCTCCACCTCCTCCTCCTCCTGGCTCTCGTTCACCGGCTTCTCACATCAGACAGCGAAAGTTTTGCAAGCGGATGCGAACCTTTGGACGGACCCATCCTCGTCCGTTGGGAACACGGAACCATATACCTTCAGAGGGGTTCCGATTGAACATGAACGGATGGTTGTATGGAAAGTGCCTTCCTCACTGCGTCAGTCCTTGGCATTCTCTTCAACCTCTCTACCCCTCGAACTTATTCCGCCGCACCCCCAAACCCCTCTCCTCCTCCTCCTCCTCCTCCTCCTCCTCCTCCTCCTCCTCCTCCTCCTCCTCCTCTCCTTCCTCCTTGCACACTCACTCCAAGGGAGTATCGTCGAGAATGCCACCTGGAAACGGCTCTTCCTCGGCTATCACGGTGCCGTTGGGGTCGCAGAGCCGCACGAGCTTCTCCGGGAACAGCTTCCTGCACTCCTGCGGGGAAGTCTTCATCGGGTGGGTAGGGGAGCGGAGCTGGGACCTTGAGTTCTTCCTCAGTGAGAGGAGGGAGCCTGGAAAACTCTTCTATTCGGTGATCGCCTGCTCAGAGTTTAAAGGGAGGGAGGGAGGGAGGGAGGGAGGGAGGGAGGGAGGGAGGCGAGGGAAGGAGGGGAGGGGAGGGAGGGCGAGGCGAGGCGAGGGAGGGAGGGAGGGAGGCAGGGAGGGAGGGAGGGAGGGAGGCAGGCAGGCAGGGAGGGAGGGAGGGAGGGAGGGAAGGAGGGAGGGAGGGAGGGAGGATGAGGTGAGAGTGGAGTGAGAAAGCAGATAATGAGGATGGAAGTGAAAGTGTTCGGGTGACCTAGGACCCATTGGGGGATTTTCCGCCCTTCAATCGATGACAACTGAAGAGTGTCAGGCAAGGAGCAGAAGGGTCAAGAAGCGGATGTACAAGTTGTGAACCCTCGTCGGTGGCTTCAGGCGATTCGGCAAGGTAGAAAATCTGGCGGAAGGGAGGGATGAGCCAGTGGGGGAACTGAAGAGAACAGAAAGAACTAGAGAGGGACGGAAGGAGAGAGGAAAAGGCGGAAAGGGGGGAGGGGAGGGGGAAGGTGGGAGATGGGATCGAAATTTGATTGCCTGCTCATCATAATCTGCAATCCTTGCTTCGATTCTGATCGATTCAGCTCAGTACACAAGTTTTTTTTGTGAGTATGGGTGAGGAATGCACAGGGGAAAGCAACAACAGGAAAGGTCAAATGAAAACAATCACAAGCCGGTGTAACATGTGAACTATTTCACATTTCCTACCTCTCTTGCAGTTTGTGCATCTTCTGAAAGTAATCTTCCTGGAAACCATGGATACTAAGGTTTTGCACAACACATGCATCACTGCAAACCAGCACGTCTTGCAAACGCTCGTCATCATTCTTGTATTCTTCTGGCTCTTCCATGGGAGTCGTCGTGCCAGGTTGAAATTCTTTGAAATTTCTCCTGTTGGAGCATCAGAAGAGCCATTTCAATGTGCAGTAGCCCTAGAAAAAGATTTCAAGGTGCCTGTCACATACCAGTCATCTGCTTCCGAATCATGCTCTTTCCCCTTCTTTTTGACGGAAGACAGCCTCTTTGCAACGAGTTTTATGTCATCCTGCAGTTTTCTTATTTGTTTTCGGACTGCGAAGTTGTTATCAGAAGTCGCTGCAAGAACTGCAAAGGAACAACCTGACCATAAACAAGTTTGGAGCCTCGCGATTCTCGATCGCAAGACATTACCCCGGTTGCCATCATCCTGGCAGTTTCATCATCGCCTACACAACAATTGCCGTCTACCCTACAAACGCTAACCTCACTGAATCACACTAGTTCATTTTCTGCTCTGGCCTCTTTTGCATCTGCTGCCCGTTCTACTCTTCCTCCCTCCATACCAAGAAATAAGCTGAGTCGGATGAGTCACATCTAATTGCGTCCTCTGCTTCTTCAAACAATTCTGAACCAAAAAGAGCATCAGTAAAGAACTCCACCACCCTCAAAGTGAATGTGATAACCAGGGTCTGGAACGAATGAAAACGTGTTGCTGCAAGCATGGTAAGATATGTTTGTTGACGATTAAAAGAGGGTCACCCTTTCACTTTCTTGCCCCCTTCCTTCTCCTCCACTATTGGGATGATAGAGGAGGTTACAAACTGTTCGAGTCTATCTTCCAACCTTTGAACTTTCGTCCCACCAATGTGTAAACAAACTGACCAAAGGCAAAGAGAGCTTACTCTTGTTCTCTAACGTCAGAAGCTTGGTTGCTTGCTTCGAGTGGCTGAAATCGTCGAGCTTTCCCACCTTCCCTAATGACAAGATGTCAACGATTGAATCTCGTGTTAAATAGTACCCTCTCTTGCTTTCTCGAGATCACGTTCTGTGTATTCTATGATCTTATTGAGCAGAAAAGTCAGAAAGTTGGGCATAGTTGAACATTCAGAATTAATGATGCAAGAAATGAACAACAATGTCTTGGTTGCTGAAGGTAAGTACAAAAGGATTCGTTGCAATCTTACTTTGAGACGGCGACGGAGCTCATTCACAGTCTCGTTCTGTTGTAGCGGTGAGAAAAACAAATACACAAGAACGAAACTTGACATGTCGGGAACTCAAACTTTCTTCTGATTGCATTATCAAGACTTTTCCGATGGCTTTCCCTAAGTCCACTGTTACATCAATCCATGACCAACCTCTTCACTCACTGATCTTCTTCTTTTGTGATCTCTGAATGCTGGCAGGATCAGAGAGTCGAGCAGATTCCTGTGATGGACATACAACATGTTGAGTTTGCATCTCCTTGCCTCTACAGCTTTGCAAACCTCACTAGAGTCTTCCCCCCTGCAACGTCGAGCAGCAAAGGCAGGTTCAGACGATGTGTACTGTCAGCACAGACATTTACATGAATGCGACCCTCCTGCTGTCAGAGTTGTTCTTCGAGCCGGTATATGAGATCCGCACACGGAACACTCTGGCAGATCTGAGAATCAAATCAGTGAGAGGGATCAGACAAACGAAAGTCAAGAGTGGATCAGGCATGTATGAGCGGGGAGCCAAACCTTCCGAACTTCAGCTCGTCGTTGTTGCGGAGAAGCAGGTAATATCTGAGTGAGGACCACTTCAGCCATCACGTTGTATCGCCATCATCATTTCTCACTTCTTCTGCAGGAGCTCTCCGTTGACGTACGTCCCATGTGAGCTCCCCATGTCATAAAGGAAACAGAGTCCCTAACATGTCCAATCAGACTTCGCCCCAATCCCAGCCTTCCCCCCTAATTTTCTCGTCTCCACAACCCTTACAATGGTAGATTTGTTCAATGCTCTTACCAACTTGTTGAATTGCAAGATCGCATGCACTCTAGAAACTGATGGGTGCTCCAGCAAAATATCACTTGTCTCTTTCTGCCTTCCAACCTTCCGACAGTGGATTAGGGGAGATATAACCAGATGTCAGAAATGGGGAGAACAGCGCAACGGTGGTTGGATAATACGCACAGTGTAGAATGCTTTTGACTTCAACTGAAAATTGTTGACGACGCTGCTCGTCTGTTAAGCTGCTAGACTTGCAAAAGGCGATCAGACCTGTCGTTCTTCAAAACCTCCAGATTGAAAAGCGAACTTGACATCGGTCTCTCCCCCCAATCAGGCATGACATATTCCCTACAACAAACGAGGGAGAAATGACTTGATCTCTTGCTCTACCTGACACATTCATCACCTCATGTCTGCTTCTTCCCTCCTCCCTCCTCTGCGACTCTGACTCCTGCTCAGCAAAGGAATTTACCAAACAAGATTTCTTCCTTCCATGCTCAACAAACCGTTCGATGCTGAATGTCAAAATGAATCAAATCATAATCATGACAGGTAGGCAATCTTCACCTTCTCGCTCTGCTTTCACTCCTCTGCCGCTCCATACTGCATTCCCAGGTCATCGTGCCTATGAGCACAGACACAAGCAGTGCACCTCCGCTCTCGGAACCCTCCTCCTCCGAGCTTCTTCATCGCTCTGATAATCGAGAAGCGTCAGTCGTGAGTGGAGTGTGGGCATGCCGCACTTGTATTCCATCTCGTCTCGAGCATTGTAGAGGTCGTAGTCTCGATCTGGCAGGTCGCCCTCTGACGATTCTCACCATCTCAGCCTTCAACCCGCCATGAGCGCAAACTACCTGATCCCCAACCACCTCCACGCAATGCCTCACACCGACTGCAGGAAGCCATGGCGCTGGTCAGGTTCAGAACCATGCTTCGCTCGCGCCTCTGCCTGCATGCCGCGAGTTGGTCGCCACGAAGTGAGCGAGCAGGGGATCGGATTTGACGATTATTCGAGGAAGTTGTCGACACTGCAGAGCAGAGGAAAACCAAGGTGATTCGTGTATGAAGCATGCCTTCGCTTCTCAAAGCAGGCATCATCAGATGGAGGATCAAAGGCCAGTGCTTGCCAACAAAACCCAAGTCACGAAATCTCGTTTTGATGGGGTATCCTCCTTCACCATTCTAGCAGCTGGTCTCTTACTAGTCTCCCTCGCCTTGCCCTTCAAAATCTCTTCCTCATGCGCATCTTCTGCGCAGCGGAGCCATGTTTATGTGCCTTCTTTCCCCGTTTCCGCTCTCGCCATTGCGAGTTTGCGGACGCATCCATTCCTCCACCCCTACCCACCAAGTAAATACATGTACCCGGTACTTGCTCTATGATTCTGTCTCAGATAGACTGGTACCTTACCCACCTACCCCTCATGGATGAATGATCGTCCGCTTCCGTCCCCCATGGCGAGCCCAAGAAACCGCAGGAGGGCAGGATGGTGAAGGAGGTCATGGAGAGCAAGGGAGAGGAGAAGCGAGATGGTAGCGACATGAAGGAGGGATCATGATCAGAGCATGCTGACGAAAGATCTCTCAGAGGGGATGATGGAACGGATGGAGAGTAGAGGCGGAGGGTGAGGTGCAGGAGAGGCAGGGGAGGGAGGGAGGGACTGAATCAAGCTCTTGGATAGTAGTTCTCTGAATGCAGGAGGAGACAGCTTTAGATCTGAGCCAGACCAGCGACAAGATATAGGAACGGTGGGAAGGGGCTATCCGTTGATCTTGACTGATGCCGGTCATTGACGTCTTGCTTTCAGGTTTGATTTCTCTGGCACTTCCGAAGAGACATGTCTTGATCAGTGAGAGGATGGAAACGAGCAGAAATCTCGCGTCTGTGTCGTTGCTCCTCGTCCTATCGCAGCTCATCGTCCCCACCATCTCCTACATCCCCACCAGTTGCCGGTGGCCAGGCCGCCTCAACGTCATGCAGCGCGCCGTCAGCCTAAGATGCACTGGAGACGGAGGGAGCCGAGACGAGGAGACAGAAAGCCTCCGGCAGTATCGGAACATCGAGAGCTGGTATGAAGCTCGGATCTCAAAGGATCCTATCAGTGCAGAAGACCTCGCCAACTATGCTATCTACCTGCAAGTTGTGCGAGGCAAGGCGGAACGAGCCGCTCTCATGTACGAGATGGCGCTGAGAGTTGACCCTATCCTCTCAAGGAAGGTCGCGCTCGATCAATGGATCCGCAACGGTCCTCATATCTCATGCGCTGGCGCCGGTCGCTGACATGCCCTTGTTGCAGTCTCAGCGGCGGACCTCGTGAGCATATCACGTGAGTGATCGATCAACAACTTGCGGGGCTGTTGACTCCTTCCTCTCAGTCGCCAAGATGAGCTCTCCGTTGATCCCTCGGCTAGCCTTGGCGAAGGTGATGGTGCCGAGGATAAGAGGTGAGTGTAGAGTGTGGTGTTGTGTGCGGTCAACTCATGCTGCGAAGTTCGAAGGATTATGCTTCCCAAGCGGAGGTATTGAGAGCAGGACAAGCGGTGTACAAGTCAGGTGACAGACAGCACAAGAGTGTTTAGAAGAAGCTGGATCTTTCTTTCTCTAGACTGAGTGAAGATCTCTTGTCCCTAGTGAGCAGCCAAGACCCTTCGGAGGAGAAGCTTCGCTGTCCCCTCAAGGACGTAGGGCTCAAGTAGGCTGCATCCAGCGTGCTGTAAAGTCATCAGCCCATAGATCGAGCTGTGGACATCTTCAGGACAAGACCTGTAAGGCTTCTCCGGCGCCTGCTCGTCCCGCGAGCTCACGGTGGGGGAGGTGAAGTAGGAGGCGCAGGCTTGCAGTCACATCAGCTTCGCTCTCGCACTTCGCCTCGTCACCTGGCATCTTCGGCGGGTTCCTCGAAGCAGACTTGGCGATGAACTTGGTGAGCCATGGCTTCCGGTCTAGCTTCTGCCCGAGCTGCGGTCCCTTCTCCTGCCACCTGCCGTCAGGGGCTGACGAGAGCTGATGGGGCCGTGACCTCCGACTCGAGAGCAGACGGACTCTGAGGCCCGCCTTTCTTCACTCCATGCTCGAAGGGAGAGAACATGCGTCCCAGCCCGCCTGCAGGGCTGATGAGACATGAAAGACATCGCTGCTTCACCTTTCTCTGCTTCCAGCGTCTCCTCCGACGGAGGATACTTCCAAAACCCCGTGGCAAAGATCTTTCTGTTCTCCTGCGCGCACAAGGAGCTGAGTTTCATCGGACATGGAGCAGGCTGGTCACCTCAGCATAATCTCTTCTTGTGACGAGGTCACGATAGTACTCCGGATGCTGCAGCCCCTCGCTCAGTCTCATCGCACTCGCAGAGCAGAGTTATTTTCCGCTCACCATCCCTTCAGGGATCGCGTCCTCCCCGTTGTACTTTCTCACCTGCTCGCACATCAACACCACACCCTCTCGCTCATCCGCACGAGACGTTCTTAGCTTCTAGCTGATGCTTGCCCAGGGTATTGACCTCGAACAGCACGTGCTCTCCCACTTGCAGATCGTTGTCCATCACTTGGCTCTTGTGTACAAACACCTCCTGCCCGTCCCAGTCCAGGAAGCCGTACTTGCTCTGAGGTATCCATTTCTTGACCACCGCACGGTAGGGGATGAGCCGCTCGTCAATGGGCTTGAAGGTGGCGATCTTCCAACCCTCGTTGAAGGGGTTCTGACACTTTCTCATGTGCCCGAAGGTCTTGACAGGGACCTGTCCAGGATTTCAAAGAGAAGAAGATGAACGAGGAGAACGTGTTGAGGACGAGGACGAAAACAAAGGATAAACTTGAAAGAGAACATCCTCAAGAAAAAGGGCAACAGCAAGGAGAACTAGAACAGAGAGAAAGAAGAGTGAGAGCAAGAGGATAGATCACCTTGTGCGAAGAAGAAGTATCCGCGTAATGGGAGGCCCCCTTCTTCTTTCTCGTCTTCGTCTCCACCTTCACCGGGTTCTCAAGTACCCGGGTGGGCAGGGCGGAGTACGGGCTCTCGCTGGGGCGAGGAGGGAGGCGAGGCTTGTGATACTGGTAGCGGATGTCTTCGATGTCGCACGAGCTCTGAGCGCTGAGGGGAGTAAGGGAGTACCACTTCTCCGGGTGAACCCACTGCAGCCTTCCTGCTCGCAGAGGGTCGTCTACCAGGAAGGAGGAGGTGGGGGGGATGCCTCGCTTCGGGTCAAGGGATGTCAGCTTCTTGTGCTTGCTGGGAGACGATGAAGGCTGGTGCTGCACGGCTGTCTCCGCTCCGTCCTCATGGTTCGACACGCTGGAAGCGACGTGGCGCTTTGCCAGTGCATGGCTGTACTCGTTGCGGATGTAGTTGATGCTGAGCCTCCCCTCCTCCTGCGCCTCTCGCACGAGCTTGACTCGACCCTTCACCTCACTTCTGAACTTCTCTAGGTTGAAAATCCCGTTGGTCATCCTCTTCGCCCCTGTTTCAGTCTACATGCGCTCCTGGGCTGCATGACATCATCCTGTCTGGTCGCGGGCTACCTCAGCAATACTGTATCCCTTCCTGCTTCCGCTGCTGCCCCTGCTCCTCCTCCAGCTCCTCCTCCAGCTCCTTCTGCTCCTCCTTCTGTTCTTCTTGCTCCTGCTCCTTCTCCCGCTCCTCGTCCTCGAGCACCTCCTCGTCTCATACCTACTGGGCTACCATAACTACACGCGTACCTACTAACGGCCTGCCACCCCACCCCTCAAATTCTCTTTGATCACCCCACCCCAGATGGATGCGGGAGGTTGAGAAGCTTTTTGAGGTATAGAGAATGAGGAGGAGACGGGGAGAGGAATAGGAAGAGAGGAGAAGTAGACGGGTAGGACAACAGAGTTGAGAGTTGAAAACGAGTAGAGGATCGGAAGCAGGCATAGGTGATGTGATGTGTAAGCACGACGAGCATCTTGGTGCAAGGACTACGACGACGAAGATCATGGAGAGGGAAGCCCGAGGCTTCGACAGTGGAACGGCAGGAAGGAAGAGCGAGCAGGAAATGTCAACTGAAGTTCTTCACTCAACATGCGTGCCAAGCAAATCAAGTTGAGCCAAAGAATGTTCGCCATTCGTGAAGCTTGTCCAGAGGAATCTGCAGCAGCAAGTGAGCTTGAAGAGCGATAGAAGAATTACTCGCTTACATCCTTCTGGTTGGCTTCCTTATCCTCCATACGCAGATCCTTCACACGAACCTGCGGTATCATTAGCTTGCTGCCTCCCTTCCTCCTCTTTCCATCTCCCTCGCTCCCTCAACTTCCCTCCTCGCCCTCGCATCGTTTCTCCTCCCTCACCATGTTCTTATCCCACTCATCGGGAGCAACCAGCGCCACGTACTGCGCGCCCACACGGTTGGCGTAGTCGAAGGTCTGACCGACTTTCTTCTTCAGCTCCACCTGACGTATCGCTCATCCCCTGCCCTTCTCCCTCCCCCTTCCTGCTCTTGCCTGCATGTCCACCGTCGCTCCTGCCTCTCTCAGCTTGGCAGCCACCGTCAGCGCGTTGGGCAGCATATCCTTGCTGGGCACGAGGTCAGGAGAGGAGGAGGAGGCGCAAAGTCACCTGAAGGCGGCGACGACGAAGTCGGTCAGCTGGGGGAAGTCAGGGAGGAGATTCTTCATCTGGAGCAGCTCCATGATAACGCAGTCGCCGAAGCCAAACCCAACGCAGGGAACCTTGAGGAGAGGATCAGACGACCTTCCTCCTCTTCCTCTTCTCCCTCTCTCGTCCTCCCTTGATCACTCATCCATTTTCCCTGCTACTCTTTCCCTGCCTCTCTCCCTGTCTTCCTCCTCCCTTCACTTCGCTTGCCTCTTGTTTCGATCCATAGAGCGACAGCAGGCGATCGTATCGTCCTCCTCCGCAGATGGCACGGAGCTCTCCACTGCAGCATCATCACGAATCGCGTCAGGAGCAATTAAGGTCGGTCAAGAGGAGTCGAACACGTGAAGAACGGAGGATAAGGAGCAGGAGCAGGAGCAGGAGCAGGAGCAGGAGGAGATGTGCGGGCAGAGAAGGGGGCGGCAGTGGACCTGCGGTCGAAGCACTCGAACACAATGCCGGTATAATACGCCAACCCCCTCACAACGGACGCGTCGAACTGCATGAAATCTCCGTAGCCGTAGGCCTCGGCCTGCAAGATAAAGCAAAATAAAAAAAAATTCACTGCCCTCCCATCCTCCCTTCTTGATGCCCTTTTGCACCTCCCCCTGCTAACCATCTATCTTCCCCCCCTCTGCTCCGTCCTCTGCTCCTAGTGCCTCCCTTGAATACCTCTCCTTCCCTTCCCCCTCCTTGTCACCTCTCAAACCAACTACCCGCCTTCCCTTCCTTCACTCCCTCAGCCTTGTAGACTCATCCTTCCCATCACCTGAACAAACAATTCTTTGAGCTCGTCCAGACCCTCCTGATCGGCTCCCTGCATGACACCAGCATCACAAGACGGCGCATGACGAGAGTGGAGGACGGTGACCTCAGCGATGGTTGAGAGCTCCTCGACGCTCCTAGCACTCATCGTCTCGATGATCGTCCCAGCTGTCTTCTCTGACACGCCCAGCTGCACAAGCTCCTTGGTGACCTGGGAAGCGTAAGGTGGGAGGTAGGAGGCCGTGGCCGCGAACCTCCTCGGGGCCGATCTTGTCAAGTTTGTCCACCACAACACAGACAGGAGCGAACTGCTGCTCGCTGATGCCCTGAAACGAAAGTCAGACGATGCCAGCGGGCGGCGAGGAGAAGGAGCTGACGGACCTGCGCCTTGAGGATGGAAGCCATGACCTTGCGGGAGTTCACTTTGATTCCAACGTCCTTGGCAGTGATCCCCACGCGCGTGAAGAAGGTGGTAATGGCTGTGAGAGGAGGTGAGCAGAAAGTGTCGGAACAATCCCAGATATTGACCAGCCAGCAGCTCGACCTCAGCGGTGATGGACTTGACCCCGACAATGTCCATGTTCCACTGCCAAGCACACTGTCACATATGGGGCAGGAAAGTTTCCTCGGGAGGGAGGGAGGGAGGGAGGGAGGGAGGGAGGGAGGGAGGGAGGGAGGGAGGGAGGGAGGGAGGGAGGAGGGAGGGTA